TGACTAAAGGGTGTTTTTTCATGTCCTCTATGCTCTAACTACGAAAATATTTGATTTACAAATAAGGAATCCTACTTCGCGGAATTTCATTTATCACGGTCGGGTCTAGAACCGATTAACCGCGATAAACGAGGGTTCACTGTACACACATACGTACGAAGGTGCTTCAAAAAGTTCATGGAAAAATGCAGCTGAAAGATAATGGAATTTTTCCATGAACTTTTGAAGCTCTCTCGTATAACAAAACATGCCACTTCAGTATTTTTCACGTGTACAAGTCAGTGATTATGTTCATCATATTGTGTAAACAAAACCATTATCTGTTTCCAGATTTTGTTCTTAATGTTCTCAGGGTGGACTTGTGCTTAAACACCTTGCTCTGAGTGGCTACTTGTAGAAGCTGATGGGGCTGTGCTATAACATGAAGGGGCTTCAAAAAGTTGTAGGATTCTGTTGTGTTGTAATTTCATTTTTCTGTGAACTTTTTGAAGCCTCCTCTGTAACACGTGATCGTAGGTGTTTACATCTGTCAGCGCCATCACATTTCTAGCTTTGCTCCCTTTTCCTCACTCATAGAGAATGACTGATCACAAAGACCCCTTGCCTGAAAATTGCATAAATGAAGGATTTGAATGAATTTAAACTCCACAAAGTCCTTATTAAGGCATTCTGAAGAGTTGCAGTTCTGTAGAATATGCTGATTTTCTTTAGGAAGGGAGATTCTTTTCTGTATAAATTAACATGATTTTCAATTTGCCAGAATAACACCCTTTTCTTCTATAGCCTTTTTGATTTGGCATCTGTTCTACGTCAGATACTTGTCTTTTGTGCTCTACAGAAATTAGTTTTCTTCTGAAAGGACCCAGCTTACATTTCATGGAATGCTCATTTGGCCCAGTAATACCAGATCCATGCCAGAACACTTAAGACAAAACTGAATAGTTTCAACTAATGAGATGTACTAGTATGAAAAAAGCAATGAGTTTGATGAGCACCACGGAGTCCTAACTTCTGGTTCTGATTGAAGATGCAGATTCAGTTTGAGTTACTGCACATGTCCGATCTGTGTCAGCAATGCATGGTGTAAGACGTGTTGTCCAGCTCCTTGCACTTCAGGGTCAGAAAGGAGGATCATCCAGATGGGCCCCAGCGCAAGGCTGATTCCTGTGCGGTGGAGGCCATACACTGCTCCACCCTTCAGCCCTGTTCTGACCCCAGCAGACTCTCCTACCAGGAGCGCTCTGCTTCTCCGCTGGGTGTGAGAATTCATTGCAGTAGCCACACACAATTTCATAGCCCATACTCAGGATTATTGGTTTTCGTAGGGAAGTAACAAGTTATAATCCAGGATCAAGATCAATTTAGAACAGGAACAAGTTGGGAGATAAGGAGACAATTTGTCAGTCAGGGCAGCCTTCAGGCTTTCAGCTTCTTCTCAGCCATGTCTGCAGTGTGTGAATTAAATGAGATGAAAACTCCTTATCCTTGCTAATGCTTCTTCCAACACGAATTTCTTTGTTCTTCAGGCAGCTTACATTCAGTATTCTTTGCCAATATCATAAACCAAAGAGGCCTTTTGCAGCAGATTTGACCAACTTGGTAAAACCCAAACCCACTGCCATCCCAACTGATAGTGACTCTATGTAGCAGCGGTTCTCAACCTGTGGGTCGTGACCCCTTTGGGAGTTGAACGACCCTTTCACAGGGGTCACCTGATTCATAACAGTAGCAAAATGACAGTGATGAAGTAGCAATGAAAATAATTTTATGGTTGGGGGGTCACCACAACATGAGGAAATGTATGAAAGGGTTGCAGCATTAGGAAGGTTGAGAACCACTGCTAAATAGGGTTTCTAAGACTTTATAAATTTTTACAGGCAGTAGTCTGATCTTTTTCCTGACTGTTGGTTTTGATCCACTGACCTTGTGGCTAGTAGGCCAGTGATTTACAACAATACTATTCCTGGGGGTCCTGGCCCAGTGCAGTTCATTGTTGATTTCTTCACTGCTCCTTCTGTGGGTATTGTTTGTAAAGGCAAGACATTTTTTGATAGCTTCTATCTGTTAATCATGATGTGTTCCTTATTGGTCCATTTGTGAGGTTTGTGG